CCCAGTGTCTATCACCCAGTCACCCCAACCCTCCCTCCCCACCCCCCACTCCAACAACACTCAGTTTGTTTCCTGCGATTAAGAATTCCTCATATAAATGAGATCATATGATACATGTCTTTCTCTGTATGATTTTCTACTTTTTAATGTAAAGTAATATATTCTACTAAAAGATGTCCTTTTTTAATAGCATGTCAAAGGAAGGCAAACTACTTTAACCAATGCACGCTTAAAATATTTCTTTTCCCTTTCTCAAATGTAGGACCTTTCTGAAGTAAATTTAAATTTGTCTCTGCTTTTGCACAATACAGGCTTTTATTGGTCCTGCTAACTGGTGCTAAATCCTACACTTTAGCCATTCTTTTTCATATCTAGCCCTCCTAGCAGGCTGCGACCAAGCTTCCTTTTTTCTTTGGTGTAAAAACAAACAAATAAATCTAGGTTCAGGTTTGATTCCTCTACTACCTGTGTTGGGCTTTGAATAAATTACTCTTTCTAGGTCGCTCTTGCCTGATTTATAAAGTGGGACGATCCCCAACACTTGGAATGGCTTGTGAGGATTAAATGAAATACTGCGCACGCGGATTCCTGAGCATGACGTTAACACATATTCAGTGCTCGGTAAACGCAACTCGCTATGCGAGCCTGTGGGTTGACTTACGGTATCCCCAGAAACGTCACGTAAGAGAGTATTCCCTGCAATTCAGAGTGGTTCCTGTGCAGCCACAACTTTGACATTTTAAAAACGAATTCTAGGGCACAGCTTGCCTTTGCATGCAGATGTGCAGATTATCATTCAGCGCCGCTGGATGACTCAGCGATATGGGGCAAAGCAGGTCCATGTGGGAAAGCAGGACTTCAGAGTCAGATCCCTCTGTACCTTAAATGTCGTTTTCCCTAACTCACTCACTCAGTGTTTGCTGTGTGCGCACTGTGGGCCGGGGACGGGTAACAAAACGTGCCAGATTCTTGCCTTCACGGAGCTCAAGGTCTAGAGGGGAAGGAAGACATGGGTAAAATGGAGAGGCCCAGAATGGGGAAGCAGTATTCCTGGTGTATGGAATAGCCCACGTGATGCCCTTATATTGGCAACACTCAGTGCTTTTCCCAACTAAAAGAAATCCATTGCAGTTGAGCATAGTAATAAAGAGAGACTAATGACTAGAGAAGGGGTTGGGAAGTAGGCAGTGGCCAGGTAACAATGGCCTGTGGACTGCATTTAGGGTGACTTTGTGTCTAGGGTCACAGGGACTGTTTGGATTAGGGACAGTGGTCCTAATAACTCCCTCTTCACTCTTGAAAATGTCCTGGTTTAGACAGTAGATAACACAGTCCCTGTAGCTGTATTAGACGGCACAGATTATATTCTCAGTGTAGTGGGGAGTTTTTGAAGAGCTTTAAGGAGAATGATAGGCTAGCATCTACTTTTTAGGTGACAAGGCATGAGTGAGTGCAGAGGTTGCAAGACGGAAGGCTATCCCGGTTTTCCGAGTTAGAGGGCCTTGACGTGGGGTAGCGTGGTGACGGTGAGGATGGAGAGATGGGGTGGAGGCAGGATATTTTGGAGGCAGGCTATCAGGTCCTAGCGAGGAAGTGGATATGGGAAATGAGGGAGGAGTTCCCGGGAATAACTCTGAAGTTTCTGGTTTAAACAGCTGAGTGGCTGGTGGTGCCAATGCTCCAGTGGGGTGATTGAGAGTAACCACTGAAGAATGAAGGCCGGGAAGAACTAAGACTCGGAATTTGACATGCCCAAGTTGGAGTTGAAGGTGCCGAGTGTTTGCTCAAGGAGAGGGAGCAGATGAGTAGATCTGAGTAGGTCTAAGGAGATCAGAGACTCAAACCCTTGCCTTTTAAATCCAAACCTTTTTTTTTTTTTTTATAAGATTTTATTTGAGAGCCTGAGAGTGAGCACAAGCATGGGGAAGGGCAGAGGGAGAGGGAGAGAGAGAAGCAGACTCCCCGCAGCAGGGAGCCCGACATGGGGCTCCATCCCAGGACCCCGGGGATCATGACCTGAGCCGATGGCAGACGCTTAACCGACTGAGCCACCCAGGCGCCCCTCAAATCCAAACCTTCTATACCCAAGAAACCATGTTAAATGTAGAGTGGTACTGGGTATGTCTTCATAGCGTGTTCCCTGAGTAATGCTTGTGACAGATGCCTAGGCGTTTGCTTGTGGGTGCTCAGCTGCAGGGGGGCACAAACCATTCCACCCACGGGGGTGTGGCTGAGACCCGCCCGTGACACACTAGGACGTCGGGCCGGAGAGGTTGTGTGCTTTCGCTAAGGTACCCAGGTGGTGGGAGAGCTGCTGTTCCATCTCAGCCTTCCCCTCTCCCAACAAATCCTTCTTTCCAAGAGTAGAAAATCCGTGGATTGTCTCTGGACAAGAGTCACTTAACACACGGCTGGGTGAGACAGTGGATTCTGTTGATGGCCGTAGTTACTGGGAGGGGTTTATCTCCACCAGGGGAGGAAGACGGTCTTTCACAGCCTTCTGACTGTGAACAGAGCTGGTTTGATCGTTGAGATGTCCCTGTGGTGAGAAGCACATGTGTTTTGCATGCCACAGAGTGCCCTATTGGGTCAGGCTCCCTGGCGCGTGCCTCTCGGCGCAGCTGATGTGTCCATTTGCTCGGGGACGACAGCTGGCTGCCTGGCCGGTCCATGCAGCTGCTGCCTCAGGTAGAGACGGTTGCTCAGCTGCCAGGTATGGAGATTCGAGAACAGAAACAGGCAAGGAAAGTCTGCTGCTTTTGGAGTGCCTTAGACCTAACCCTGGCTAACTGATTTGGTGGTGTGCACCGGACTGAGTTGTTCTTTAAACCCTCTCGTCGAGGTGACCAGTCACTGAATTATAGTGCTTTCGACCTATGAAGACTATAATGAGTTTCAGACAAAAGGAAGCGGTTGTGATCATCTTCCGGTTGGAGCATGATGCTGATTTCACGCCACATTTCTGTGGTACCTATCGGGTTTCAGCCAATTAATTAAATCATAGCAAGCCTGGGAACGAAGTTTAAATTATTGTGCATGGAATTAGCCACCCATTCATTGCTCATGGCTGAAGCAACATTTGCATGGGCCCTGGGTGTCATGTTCACCCAGGAGTGACTTTCTCCTTTTATCCGTGTCTCTCAGCTGTCACCCCATGTCTGGAGAGTGTGCCTGCAAGCCGGGCTGGTCAGGACTCTACTGCAATGAGACATGTTCTCCTGGATTCTTCGGGGAAGCTTGCCAACAGATCTGCAGCTGCCAAAACGGGGCTGACTGTGACAGTGTGACCGGGGAGTGCACCTGTGCCCCAGGATTCAAAGTGAGTGGCTCTGGAGGAAGGAGCCTCGGGGTACCGTGTGGAGCACAATGACACCACGTACCATATAGGGCCCTTCCTGAAGTACAGGGAATGTGCTAAGATCTGTCACATCATTAACAAGAAAGAGACTGAAAAGTACTACTAAGAAACAGAAGGAATTACCTTAGAACGATAACTGGAAGGCTGGTAAAACAATAAATGTAGCGTTCATATTAATTATTTAATTAATATGTGTCATGGAATATGATGTACTTTCATTATTCCTTACATAATTACTTTTTCCCTACATAATCATTTTGCTACATTCTATAGGCAACAAAGAAATTACTTTTCCAAGTAATTACTGTTAAGAGTTTTTGTCTCAGCTCCACGCAATTTGAAGGCACATCATGTATCAAGTTCGCACGTATTATATATTTACGTGCGATGGTTAGCAGTATGGAAGTTTTTCGGTGCCTTGGAGAACCTAGACCTTGCAAATATGCCCGTGCGCCAACCGAGCAGAATTTTGCCTAGTTTCCAGGATTTCTTAGCTATAGATTAGGAATCCTTGTTTTAAAGGAAAACAGATTGGTCTTGATTATTTTCTCTCTTTTGAAAGAGGACAGGATTAACCAAAGAAGATGTTGATGATTATTCCAGAGCATGTAATGTGGGATGAGTAGGTGATAAAGACTCAGAGTTGAGGGGATCTTTACAGGTTTTTCTAACCCATGTCAATATTCTTTGGTGGAGCCCTTGATTTACTCTGTCTTAAGTCTCTTCTGTTTTTATTTTTATTTATTTTTAAAGATTTTACTTATTTATTTGAGAGGGAGAGAGAGAGCATGAGCAGGGGGGAAGGGCAGAGAGAGAAGCCGGCTCCCCGCTGATCAGGGAGCCCAAGGCGGGTCGATCCCAGGACCCTGGGATCATGACCTGAGCCGAAGGCAGATGCTTAACCAACTGAGCCACCCAGACGCCCCAAGTCTCTTCTGTTTTTAAAGGCGATGACCTCCAGCCATCCTTGATAGCCCACTTCTGTGTTTTAGGCTTATTGTCAGATAATAAATTGAATCATGCTGCAGGCGGAGTGTGTGTCCCGTTGCTTTGCTTCAACCACCAGTCATATTACATATTATACAAGGAAGGCTAAGAAGCATTGCAATTTAATGTATAGTTTATGTTTATTTATGTATTGACTGTAATTGATAGTTTATTGTTCTATATCTGCTTGTCTGAGCAAGGACAAAAGGTTTTTTTGTGTGTTTGCTAGGAAAGGAAGCTCATGAAGGCAGCAGGCTTTTTTGATTGCCATTTAATACTGAATCCTAAACAGGCAAGCTAACATTGCCCTTGAATCTTTAAAATTTGTATACTGGGGGCATTTGGCAACTTTAAAAAATACAAGTGTTAAAATTAGAGAGGGAATATCATTAGCATTGCCAAGGTGCATTTTTGTTTGTTTGTGCTGGCTTTATTTCATTCAGTGAAATTGCACGCATTTTCCTATCTGTGCCCGTCTAGGGAATTGACTGCTCTATCCCGTGCCCGCTGGGAACCTATGGAATAAACTGCTCCTCTCTCTGTGGCTGTAAGAACGACGCTGTCTGCTCACCTGTAGATGGGTCTTGTACTTGCAAGGCAGGTAAGTGGGGGAGTGAGGCTTTTATCTGCTCTTCATCCCGTCACCTCCTAAAGTCACAGGGAAGAAACCTTGACTAGGGTTCTAGCTCCATCCGTGCCAAAGTTTGGCGTCCAAACTCGGCCAGCCCCTCATCCAGGGTGGGCTCTCCTGCTTTTGTGAGCCAAGAAAAGCGGCTCACATAGGACCTCCAAAGTTGCTGCCAGCTCCCAAAGTCTGGGAGTCTCTGGGCTTTGGGTAAAGTGAGCAAGCAGACATACACCCACACCCCTAAATTGGCCTGGAGTTGCAGCAAGAAATGCAGCCAAGCACCGATTTTATGCAAAGGCCAAAATGTGTCTATCTGTAGTTGTTACAACAGGCAGGGTCCCGGAAACTCACTGTTCACGGTTCATTGGGTTTGCTTTAAAGAGGGGGTTGCTCTTCCAAACACAAACCTTCCTTTACCCTCCCGTATAAAGATGGTGCTTTCCCGACCGGAGCCGCACTCGGCGTTCTGCATTGCGCATCACCGCACACTCGAGGTGCCGCGCTCTGTATCTTGTCCCAGTAGCCCAGCGATGTCTCTTGCTGCTGGCATCCTTGTCGATCATACGGCACACACGGATTCTGGGTACTTCGGCCGTTGCTGCTGGAGGCTCCACTCGGCAGCGCCACTGCGCTCTGTGCTGGGACTGGGGACCCCGCCGTGCACCTCCAAAATGTTTCTAAAGGGCAACGTGGCTTGGGGAGTCCGGGGGAAACTCCATGCTGCTTGTTCTTGTCGCGGCAGGCTGGCACGGGGTGGACTGCTCCATCAGCTGCCCCAGCGGCACTTGGGGCTTTAGCTGTAACCTGACTTGCCAGTGTCTCAACGGGGGAGCCTGCAACACCCAGGACGGGACCTGCACATGCGCACCCGGGTGGCGCGGGGAGAAGTGTGAGCTCCCCTGCCAGGTACGGCTGAGCCGGAGCCCCAGCTGGGAAGCCATGGGGGGTGGGTGCTGGGGGCAGAGTGTCCGCTCACTGCTGCCGTGTCCCTGGGGTCAGGCATGCGTGTGTGAACCCAACAAAACTATTAGAAGAACTGAGGTCTTTGAAGTCACATCGGAGGTAAGATCGGAAAAGGGATAGACATGGAAATGGGTAGGTAGCTCTGCAAGAATCACTCCCTTCTTCTCCTTCATCTCTGCCCGGGCTCCCCCCACCCCGCCCCCCCTCCCCCCGCCACCCTTCCTGCTGTCTCCGTTCCTACACACCCCTCTCTCCGTGGCAACCGATGGACAGCATTTGTCAAACACCCAGCGTCTGCCTGTCAACTCTCCAAATACTGTATCTCCATTATCATGGAAATCCTCCCATCTCTGGTGGAAAGTGGCAGAGGATTGAAAGGGGGTGGGGACCGGTGTCGCAAAAATGCTCATCGAGGTGGTGAGAGGTTTAGAAATGGCCGTCTGTTAAACACAAGTGTTTCTCGAGTCACAGGAATCTCCAGAGATGTCCCTCGTTCAATGCTGGCTCCACTCCCCTGACCTACTTTGGAGGTAGTCGTGCATACAAATCCCATACCACGTCCTACTGCAGGCAGAGGTTGCAAATGGGACATGTGTTCTATAGTAACATGCTGATTCCCCTTTCTCCCTCTGAAGCCCTTGGCCCATTTCTTGCCCTCTTTTTCATGACCTTTTCTTCCTCTCTCATTTCTTTCCTCCTGAGCCATTAAGCATTCTCTCAGGGATGTGCGTTCTCTGCCTCCAGGAGAGATGGCAAGATGACACTGTGACCCTCTGACCTGGGCCCCTCGCGGTGGGAGCAGTTTTTCCCCTGGGCTTCCTCCTCATCAAGCACAACCCATTTCCCAACTAGAGAAGATCCCACCCTGGGCTATTCCATGCCCTCCAGACCCGTAGGACAGAGTTCAGTTAGCTTTGCTGCCTCTCATCCACCAGTGAACAAATTATCAGTCCTCTGCGATGGGCTTGAAGAGCACCTTGCACTCCCAATCAGATGGTAGACAATTCAGTGAAGTCCGATGATGGTTTAAGTGGCTTGTATGGTGGCAAAGCCCCAGCAAACATTAGTGGGGCGTTAATTTTTTTAAATTTTAGTTAAGTTCTCGTCAAACGATGATGCTGTCAGACACCCTGTTTTATGCTGGTTCTCAGCTTCCTCGCCCTTGGTAACTGCACACCCCCTGAAGGTTTAGAGTGCCCTCCCTCAGTTCGTCAGGACCTGGCATGAAAGGGCAGGGTCACTAAGTGCAGAGCTTTCCATTACCACAGTGTGAATTGATATGAAGGGTCTAGCAAGGCTTCTGTGGCAAACTAAATGATCTCGTCCACAAAGGGGTCTCGTCTCTGCTGGACCAAAACCGATGTGCACGTGAAAATGTTCAGGCCTGGGAACAGACCCGGGAAGGGGCTGTGCCAAAAGTATGCCAGCCGTCCTTGGGATCTCGCATCAGAACGCTCATGTCATTGAGACTTCTTCAGGGAAAGGAAGATACTGACTGGGAAAAGCAGCCGAAGATTTTCACTTCTCCTAAGGATTCTTTGCATCACACTGGCCATTTACAGAAATGAACTTCATTCGATTAGTGCTATGATTTTCTTTTAACTGTAGAGCCTCTTTCTTTATGTGAGTCAAGGGCCTCCCTTTCCATGAACGAGTAGCATGCCTTGTAAGGAACGCTGAACTACTTTATAAAAATCCTTAGGAACAAAAGAAAATTTCTTTATGAGCGGTGGTATATGATAAGATACAAAGGATTCTCTTAATTAATGAGCATGTTTGCATATATTTGCATATATGCATATCAGTTGGTCTCACCGTTCATAGGACCGACCATTATGTCAGACATTTCAACTACAGTCTGAGTGATTTTTTTTTTTTTAAAGATTTTTTTTATTTATCTGACAGATAGAGAGACAGCGAGAGAGGAAACACAAGCAGGAGGAGTGGGAGAGGGAGAAGCAGGCTTCCCGCTGAGCAGGGAGCCCGATGCGGGGCTCGATCCCATGACCCTGGGATCATGACCTGAGCCGAAGGCAGACGCTCAACGACTGAGCCACCCAGGCGCCCCTGTCTGAGTGATTTTTAAAACACCCCCTCCTGCATTTGGGGGACTAAGCAGATATGGGAAGAGGGGATTATCATGTGTGTGGCTGAGAGGTGTTTGGGAGGGGAGGGTCCTGGATCTGAGGTGGTTGCCTGAGGTCCCTGTCGTCTTTCATTGTGGATTTCCATGACCTCGTCGCTCTCTTCCACACAGGATGGCACGTATGGGCTGAACTGTGCGGAGCGCTGTGACTGTAGCCACGCCGATGGCTGTCACCCCACGACAGGCCACTGCCGCTGCCTCCCGGGATGGTCAGGTGAGCCAGGGACCGCTACTTGAAATGGGAAACATGCCAACTTACACCTAGCCCTGTTCCTTGCTGCTTTAGGGAAACACACACGGGTCACCTTTTCAGAGAAGAAGAAATGGTAAATCCAATAACAACAGTCACATTTTTACCCAAGAGATACTACTGCGAGACCTGATTCATCTGGGGATGACTTCTTGTTGAAGCATTCAGGAGCAGTTGTCTTGAGCCTTGACGGAAGGTCCAGCTGTCAGAATTCAGGCCAGTAAGGCGGGGCGGGGGAAGTGTGAATTGATATGAAGGGTCTAGCAAGGCTTCTGTGGCATTTTTGAGCACCGAGGAAAGAATGAGGGAAATAAACCATAAGAATGTAACTAAGTTCACCTCGGTGAGGCAAAAATATTCAATATTAATATTAATATGGTTAATATGCAAGTATTAAAATAGTCATTGCTAGACATGAAAGTTTTAAAACTTGCTTTTTCTTACAATAATACTTAAGTCATAAAAATTCATAATACGATTGAGTACCAATTTTGTAGCTATAGGGTGGAGGTTTCTCCTTATTTATATGGATTCATGGTTCCAGCTAGGAAGTTTATCAGACTAACAGTGGTCTTGGAAAATGAACCCTGTTTTTGCTCATGATAAATAGACTTGGGAGAGGGCACTGAATGCCCAAGGCAAATTGGGGTCCTGCTTTTCTGTTTCTTTCATGAAGTCAAGCCTATTCTAAAAAAACAAAAACAAAACCTTACAAAACGAATGGAATTTTAAATGCTTATTTAGAAAAATTACAAATGGAAATGCACCAAGAAAGTTATTGAACATTGGGATGAGTGGACTGGGTATATTTATGAGCAGTTTCTTCTGAAAGTAAAATAAAAGGTTGACTGCTGATACGCCAATTGAGAGCCAAGTACTGTGGAACTTGGGTGCATGTTAGAGGTGGTTAAATGAACCCAAACTCTCTTTTACAATTCTCATTCATAGTCATTTGTGTATATGTGTGTTTGTGTGTGTATTTGTATATGTTGTATTTGTATCTAAATATATGTGTGTCTATATTCAGAGAAGAGAAGGAGATTTGTAGGACACAACTGTTTTCATGCTGATGATGCTTCACTATCTTCCAAAATGGTTTTTTAACTCGTCTTCTAAAAGAGAAACTGGTAGTAACAAGCCAAGCATCCTCTTTAGTGATGGTTCATATTTTGAGAAGGTGGATCTTTTAGAGGAGACTCTTAATACCTCCATGCCAGAGAAGTGACATTTAGGAAATTATGGAGTCAGCGTAGTCTTACCTCTTAGCAAAAATTGTAAAAAGAAGAACGAAGAAATAATAAGTAATGCCTATTGAATGCTTATGGCAGGCTCGCAGCAACTCTGTGAGGTAGAAAATATCATTTTGTCGTTTTTATAGATGAAGAAACTGAGGCACAGACAAGTTGAGTGTTGAAGGGTCAGTAAATGTGAGAGACAGGATTTGCACTAATACCCTCCTATTGCGTCTCCAGCTCTCTTCATGACTGCACCCTCTGCCGTACACGGACTTCTTCCAGAACATGCTGGGGGAAAGGGCAGTTGGGCTGAGATTAATTCTGAGCATGGATGAGGACTTCTGAGAATTATATGAGAGGACCGTGGTGATAAGTGCTGCTAATCAGCACCTTCTTCATATATGTGCACGTGTGTGTGTATGTGTATGTCTATATGTGTGTGTATACATACCTAGGGAGAGAGAGAGAGAGAGTATATATGCATATGTTCATATGTATGCATTTATATAGAGAGAGACAGAGGCAGAGACAGAGACAGGAAGATATACCATAGAATTCACCTATTTAAATTGTATAATCCTGTGGTTTTTAGTATAGTCAAAGAATTATACACCATCATCATTACCATTTTTAGAAGATTTTCATCATCATAAAGAAACTGCAGTAGTACTTATTATCAGTTATTCTCCATTTACCCCCAACTCACCACTAGGCAAACTCCACCTCCCCACCCTAGTCAACCACTAACCTACTTTCTGTCTCTATAGATTTACCTATTCTGATATTGTATGGATTCATGCAATATGAGGTCTTTGGCTACTGGCTTCCTTCTCTTGGTTTGTTTTCAAGGTTCATTCCTACTGGAGCGTATATCAGTACTTCATTCCTTTTGACTGGTGACAAATATTCCATGGTATGGGTAGACCACATTTTATTTGCACATCCACCAGTTGATGGACATTTGGGTTGTTTCCACTTTTTGGCTATTTTGAAAAATGCTGTTAAGAACATTCATGTACAGGTTTTTGTGTGAATGTGTATGTTTGGTATATAAGTTAGGGATGGAATTGCTGGGTTGTGTGATAACTCTAAGTTTAACCTTTTAAAGAATTGCTACACTGTTCTCCAAAGCAGTTATACCATTTTCCATTCCCACCAATAATGTGTGAGGTGTCTGTCTCCTCACCAAAAATTTTTATTTTCTGTCTTTTTGATTCTAGCCATCCAAGTGGTGTGAAATGTTATTTCATGAGTTTTTGATTTGCATTCTCCTAATAAATGACGATGTTAAGTGTCTTTTGTATTTAGTTCGGCCATCTGTGTATATTTTTCCAGCCATCTGTATGTCTGATATCTATTCAGATACTTTGCTCATTTTTTAATTGGGTCATTTTGTGTTTTTATAATTGAATTGTAATATTTCTTTATGTATTTTATATCTATGTTCCTTATCAGATGTATGATTTGCAAATATTTTTTCCCATTCTGTTTGTTACTTTTTCACTCTCTTCGTGATGTCTGTTTCTGCAGAAAAGTTTTTATTTTGACGGAGTTCAAAAAGTTTTTTTCTTTTGTTGCTTGTGTTTTTGGTGTCAAATCTATGAAACCATTGGCTAGTCCACAGTGACAAAGATTTTTACCTCTGTATTCTTCTAAGCATTTTATAGTTTTAGATTTTACACGTAGGTCTTTGATCCATTTTGAGTTTGGTTTTATATATGGTGTGAGGTAAGGGTCCAAATTCATTCTTTTGCATGCTGATCCATCTCCATCTGTTCCAGCATCATGTGTTGAAAAGATCATTCATCCCCCTCCCTTCCCATCACCTGTGTTGTCTTGATACCTTTGCCAAAAATCAACTGACCATAAGTGGGAGAGCATTTATGTCTGGACTCTCACTTCTGTTCCACTGATCTATATCCTTATGCCAGTACCATACTGTTTTGATTACTCTAGCTTTGTAGAAAGTTTTGAAATGTGGGAAGTGTGAGTCCTTCAACTTTGGTCTTCTTCTTCAAGATCGTTTGGGCTATCCTGGGTCCCTTGAACTTCAAGGTATATCAATTCCTGTGAAGAAACAAGGTAGATTTAATAAGGAGTGAGTCTATAGATCAATATGGGGAGTACTGCTAACTTGACAATACATGTCTTCATATCCTTGAACAGAAAATGTCATCAGTGACCTCTTTAGCGGTGTCTCTCGGTCCTTTGGAATTTGTTGAGAGCTGCTTTGGCTTCTGACAGGAGTAAACTGAGATGAACTGTCATGTGCTTGATTTCTAGTGTCTGAGAGCTACCTTGGGAAACAGACCAAGGCTGGGGTAATGGACTTTATTTTCTGTCAATAGGAGTTACCCACAGACACAAGGACTCTCTTGCCCTCTAGTTTCTCCTTGACTTGCAAAAGCTAAGGTAACTCTGACCTCACAGTGTGAAACTCCACCTCCCCATGTTTCCATGTGGCTCTCAGTTACTAAATGTTAAAACCACATCACGCTAAGAGTAAACTGGATTTTGTGACTTCCCTAGCGTGCTTGGACTCCTTAAATAAAATGACCAGTACCAAGTTCTCCGTGACCACAATGAAGTGAAATAGCATTTTGAACCCCCTGGCAAATTCAGAACTTTTCTAACAGAGAAGCCCTATTGTTTGTTTTGCACCATGCCCCACCAAATCTCCTCTTGTTTCCTGAATACAGAGGAAATGTGAGGTGTTCCTGAACACACCAGTCACTGCTCAAGTATCTACCTGCCTTGGTGATTTAGAGCCAGACTGTGAAAGACATACTCGTATCTACACGAGAAAAGCAGGAGATACGATTTGGCCTGAAGCCAGCCAGAAAATGTGTTTGTTGCATTCCACAGTCTGGGTCATGGGGTAAGACAAATGATCCCATCTGGCCTGAGACCTATGGAGCTCCTGCGGGAATGCACACAGCATAATCTTGTAACACTCTGTCCATCTGTGACTGGTCTGTTTCTCCAAAGGGGAAAAACTCTGCTGCTTCATGCTGGTCTCTACTTATTACCCTACTGTCTCTTTGCTTCGTGGCCCCATTGTCTCATTTCTCTGGGTCTTCTGTGGAGGCTGTTGACCTTTGAGGATCTAAGACTGCCCTGAGACTTTTTTTTTTTTTTAGAGAAATCATCCCCCACATTCACAGTACACACTAGGTATATGCAAACGTACATAGAGGAAAAGAAGGTTACGAAAGTTCCAAAAAGCACCCTACAATTGGACCAAGAATTGGTTCATTTTCCCAAGAGGAAAGAAGAGTAGACTCTGTGTTATTTATGTAGAGCACCATTTCTTTGTCCACATTGGATAGACTCATAATTTTTCATCAACAAACTTGTTTTTGAGGAAGTACCTTGTGAGAATCTTTCTCAACATAAAGAAAGCCTTGCTTTTCATTTGGATACCAGATGCAGGGCCAGATAAATAGCATGAGTATTGGGGAAGTAAAGGATTCTGTTTCCTCTCCTCCCTGTTGCTGAGAGTGCTCTAGGTGAAATGTTAAGTATCACTGGACGGGGTAATAGTATGTGGGGTAACGGTGAAGTTTTAGTGTTGTCTAACACAGGGACCTGGGCTCTTCCCTTGACCAAATCAGTAAGAAGGTACAGAGTCACCAACAACACCAACAATCCTAGGTCACGGAGGACAGTGTTGGGGGGAGGGGGAGGCTCATCAGGCCTCTGGGTTTAGAGCCAGAGGTAAAGGTGGGG